ATTTTTTATTCAAATTCTGATGGCACATATTTACTTCCATACTGAAGAGCTAACCTGGTCGGGTGCAGGTTTTTTTCAGTCAACTCAGTGTCCTCTGTCTCTGCTCTCCTTAAAGCCAATCCCGTTGTTTTATTTTCTGATTTACCAAGGAAATTTCTGCCATAATCCTCTACTAGGTCTGATAGAGACATTGTACATAGTCAAAAAAATGACCTAAGCAAAATTCTGCTTTAGAACTTCTTTTAGCTACTTTTTTTGTTATAAACTCGGTTTTTACAGCATTGTGTTTTAGATTCTTATTTTTGTCACAATGGGCCTCATGAAACATTTTCATAGTCTTGGCTTAAATTTATCTTTTTCTCCTACCATGGACTTGGATGAACACAACACTTCATATTCAACAAATGTTCCTAACTTCAGTAAATTATCCTTGTGAACTCATGCAGTCCACCTGTGTGTAATGAGCATGCGTTCCTGAGAAATATACACTACCGTTCAAAAGTTTGTGGTCACATTGAAATGTACTTATTTTTGAAGGAAAAGCACTGTACTTTTTAATGAAGATAACTTTAAACTAGACTTAACTTTAAAAAAATACACTCTATACATTGCTAATGTGGTAAATGACTATTCTAGCTGCAAATGTCTGGTTTTTGGTGCAATATCTATATAGGTGTATAGAGGCCCATTTCCAGCAACTATCACTCCAGTGTTCTAATGGTACAATGTGTTTGCTCATTGGCTCAGAAGGCTAATTGATGATTAGAAAACCCTTGTGCAATCATGTTCACACATCTGAAAACAGTTTAGCTCGTTACAGAAGCTACAAAACTGACCTTCCTTTGAGCAGATTGAGTTTCTGGAGCATCACATTTGTGGGGTCAATTAAATGCTCAAAATGGACAGAAAAAGAGAACTTTCATCTGAAACTTGACAGTCTATTTTGTTCTTAGAAATGAAGGCTATTCCATGCGAGAAATTGCTAAGAAATTGAAGATTTCCCACAATGGTGTGTACTACTCCCTTCAGAGGACAGCACAAACAGGCTCTAACCAGAGTAGAAAAAGAAGTGGAAGTCCGCGTTGCATAACTGAGCAAGAAGATGAGTACATTAGAGTCTCTAGTTTGAGAAACAGACACCTCACAGGTCCCCAACTGGCATCTTCATTAAATAGTACCGGCAAAACACCAGTGTCAACATCTACAGGTGCTGGTCATAAAATTAGAATATCATGAAAAAGTAGATTGATTTCAGTAATTCCATTTAAAGAGTGAAACTTGTATATTATATTCATACATTACATACAAACTCATATATTTCAGATGTTTATTTTGTTTAATTTTGATGATTACAAATGACAACAAATGAAAATCTCAAATTCATCATATCAGAAAATTAGAATATTACTGAAGACCAATAAAAACAAAGGATTTATAGAAATGTTGGCCAACTGAAAAGTATGAACATGAAAAGTATGAGCATGTACAGCACTCAGTATTTAGTTGGGCCTCCTTTGGCCTGTATTACTGCAGCAATGCGGCGTGGCATGGAGTCGATCAGTCTGTGGCACTGCTCAGGTGTTATGATAGCCCAGGTTGCTCTAATAGTGGCTTTTAGCTCTTCTGAATTGTTGGGTCTGGTGTATTGCATCTTCTTCTTCACAATACCCCATAGATTTTCTATGGGGTTAAGGTCAGGAGAGTTTGCTGGCCAATTAAGAACAGGGATACCATGGTCCTTCAACCAGGTACTGGTAGATTTGGCACTGTGTGCAGGTGCCAAGTCCTGTTGGAAAATGAAATCTGCATCTCCAAAAAGTTGGTCAGCTGCAGGAAGCATGAAGTGCTCTAAAACTTCCTGGTATGTGGCTGCGTTGACCCTGGACCTCAGAAAACACAATGGACCAACACCAGCAGATGACATGGCACCCCAAACCATCACTGACTGTGGAAACTTTACACTGGACTTCAAGCAACGTGGATGAAGTGCCTCTCTTCTTTTCCTCCAGACTCTGGGACCTTGATTTCCAAAGGAAATGCAAAATTTACTTTCATCAGAGAACATGACTTTGGACCACTCACCAGCAGTCCAGTCCTGTTTCTCTTTAGCCCAGGCAAGACGCTTCTGACGCTGTCTGTGGTTCAAGAGTGGCTTGACACAAGGAATGCGACAGCAGAAACCCATGTCTTTCATACGTCTGTGTGTGGTGGTTCTTGAAGCACTCACTCCAGCTGCAGTCCACTCTTTGTGAATCTCCCCCACATTTTTGAATGGGTTTTGTTTCACAATCCTCTCCAGGGTGCGGTTATCTCTCTTGCTTGTACACTTTTTTCGACCACATCTTTTCCTTCCCTTCGCCTCTCTATTAATGTGCTTGGACACTGAGCTCTGTGAACAGCCAGCCTCTTTAGCGATGACCTTTTGTGTCTTGCCCTCCTTGTGCAAGGTGTCGATGGTCGTCTTTTGGACAACTGTCAAGTCAGCAGTCTTCCCCATGATTGTGTAGCCTATAGAACTAGACTGAAAGACCATTTAAAGGCTTTTGCAGGTGGTTTGAGTTAATTAGCTGATTAGAGTGTGGCACCAGGGGCCATCAATTTTGAACCTTTTCACAATATTCTAATTTTCTGATATGATGAATTTGAGATTTTCATTTGTTGTCATTTGTAATCATCAAAATTAAACAAAATAAACATCTGAAATATATGAGTTTGTATGTAATGTATGAATATAATATACAAGTTTCACTTTTTAAATGGAATTACTGAAATCAATCTACTTTTTCATGATATTCTAATTTTATGACCAGCACCTGTACAGTGAAGAGAAGGCTGCGGAATTCTGGGCTTCAGGGCAGAGTGGCAAAGAAAAAGCCATATCTGAGACTGGCCAATAAAAGAAAAAGATTAAGATGTGCCAAAGAACACACAGACATTGGACAGAGGAAGACTGGAAAAAAAGTGTTGTGGACAGATGAATCCAAATTTGAGGTGTTTGGATCACAAAGAAGAACGTTTGAACAAATGAAAAAATGCTGGAAGAATGCCTGTCTGGGGTTGATTTGGTACTGGTAAGTTGGGAGATTTGTACAGGGTAAAAGGGATTCTGAATAAGGAAGGATTATTACTCCATTTTGCAACGCCATGCCATACCCAGTGGACAGTGCTTGACTGGAGCCAATTTCATCCTACAACAGGACAATGACCCTAACACACCTCCAAATTGTGCAAGAACTATTTAGAGCAGAAGCAGGCAGCTGGTATTCTATCGGTAATGGAGAAGACAGCACAGTTACCAGATCTGAACCCCATTGAGCTGTTGTGGGAGCAGCTTGACCGTATGGTACGCAAGAAGTGCCCATCCAACCAATCCAACTTGTGGGAGCTGCTTCTGGAAGCGTGGGGTGCAGTTTCTCAAGATTACTTTAACAAATTAACAGCTGGAATGCCAAGGGTCTGCAATGCTGTAATTGCTGCAAACGGAGGATTCTTTGACAAAAGCAAAGTTTGATGTAAAAAAAAATCTTATTTCAAATACAAGTCATTATTTCTAACCTTGTCAATATCTTGACTCTATTTTCTATTCATTTCACAACGTATGGTGGTAAATAAGTGTTACTTTTTAGGAAAACACAAAATTGTTTGGGTGACCCCAAACTTTTGAATGGTAGTGTAAATCTGCATAATTACCAACCAAATAATGCCATAAAAGGCTACATATGTGGGAGGGCGATAATTCCTGATACTTGTGAAAATGTGTTTATTTTCAAATATCATTGAAACTGAAAAATGTTTACTGTGCTTCCTCAGACCCTGTCTGTCATCTCTCATCTGCCCATACATAAACATAAAACTTTTAATAGTGAAACTATAATTTGAAGAAGTCAGACAGACACATACCCAATAATTTCACATATAGAGTAAAAATAAAGCCAAGGGGCCATGGAGTGAAATTAATGCAAATCTGACCATTAAAGGAGTTTTGCAGAACTTTCTATTCATTTTCTGTCCCATATGTTGTTTCAATAGTAGCTTGATCTAATTTGAGCTCAATAATAAGTCTGTTCTTTTGATGAAATGACAACATATAACACCAGTTGTTTCTGGAATCCTACATGCCAGCTGCAGGTGTAGTGACCGATAGTTCTGTCATCAGTAAATGAAAACGTCATAATTTTCAGAGTTACATTATAATTAATCATGTTTGCCTAATAAACTGGACAAATGTAGTCATTTAGTGAAAAACAAGGTTGAGATATCAGCCGACTGATTGCTCAAGACTCCTATATCTGGAGCACTCATAAAACAATTTTGGAGTTGAGAGAAGATTAGAAATAGGAGGAAATTGATGAATGGGACATTTTCTCCCAAATGACTTGTAGAAACGAGGAACACATTTTTTCGTACAAACAGTTCTTGCATCACTAATCATGTTCCTTCTTATGACTGTATATCTCCCTGAGATTACCTTTCCCCCTTTTGCCCTCCAACTAAAAAAGTCTAACTCTGCCACTGCATCTTACAGGCAGGTTGATGGAGGTTCCACACAAGCATCACTTTGGGAGCATTTTGTCACGAACTACTGGTCTAAATTATGCCAACTTATATTTAATATGTCAACATATTAAATGCAGGGAGAAAGGTGAAAGGAGACTGGCACAAGAGGGCGACAGAGAGCAACCCAAGGCCTGCTTTAACACACATAAAATGGAAAATAAACCAAAGAACATAATCAGACTTTATCCTTGTCAGTTTGAGATATCAAAAAACATTCAGCACAAAAAAAGCATATGAAACACGAGACAAACATTTCACCAGAAAGAAAACATTGGAGGCCGTAGACACATGATAGTCAATCTGACATTTGAGCATCGGCTGTGTGTGTATGATGATCATGTTCAATTTGTTCATGAACGCTGTAAACAGGCCATTGTCCCTGATAAGATGGAAATTTGTCAACCAGCGCTCCACCTGGAAATAAAAGATTGTCCTCTATACCTTTAAGTTGAGGTGTTCTTTTTGCCCTTCATGCAAAACATTTCCTTCAAGTGAGACTTAAAGTCTTTACAGAAAAAAAGATAAATGAGAGGATCCAGACAGATATTACAAACTGACATTAAGAGAGTCACCTCCTTTAGGTAGTAAAACACCTCTGAACAATGTCCTCCAAATAGGAAGTAAGGAAGTTGAATAAGGTGAAAAGGAACAAAACAAAAGCAGAAAACACTGACTAACACCAACATATTCCTGCGAGACTTTAAAAGTCTCTTGGAGTTGGAGCCTAGCTGTCTCTGCTGGATCTGTCTCACCCTGCGGCAGGTGTTATAGTAAAAAAAGACAAGAGATAAGAGAACTAACATGAAGACAAAAGCAGCAAAACAATGCATCACTGAGTGCAGTGAATTTACACGGTCAGAGAGTAGAAATCCACAAGTGGTGAGATACGGATGAGGTTTGTAGGTGATCAGCAAAAGGATGCTGTATGATGTCATTAAGGTCAGGGGAACAAACCAGGTGGTCATCGAGATGATGTGGCTGGCTTTGGTAGTCATTAGGAAGGAAGTTTCTGAGCTATAAAAGATCTTCATGTACCTACGGAGAAATAGAAAGAGTAAGTAATGATTAATTTTCATTTACATATAAAAGCATGGTGTATACTTAAAAAACAGGAAAAAAATACAGCTTTCAATGTTTAACAGCACCCTAGTCTTAACTATTTACCTTACTGGCTATTAAGTTCTTGTACCTGTTAGCTGCGATGTAGCCCATGAACATGATGCTTGTAATAATGTTGAGGTAAAGGAACGCAGATCCAAAGCCACAGTAAAACAGATGCACAGTGAAAGACCTGGTGGAGTAATAAATGATTCGCATTGGGAGGCTAATGCACAGCAAAAAGTCAGCAGCTGTCAGATGTTTCAGGTAGATCGTCAAGCTTTTGGAAACTTGTCTATGAGCTCCACAGCAGTGAAACCACAAGGTGAAGCTGTTGAGGATCAAGCCCACCTCAAGTTGAGACCAAAACTATTAATAATTTTTCTTTATTCTGAGACTTTACAACACTGAGACACAATGCTTATACCAGAAACACCAGACTGTAGAAGAACAGGAGTAAAGGGTGATCGGATCTTTCCACTGGATCACACGTCATGTTCTGGGATGTTGCAGAGTATTCATTGATGGATGAATTCATTCCATCCATGTCTCTCGTGTTTCTGTAGATTTATCATTGAACGCAAAGCAATCCTCAGTCACACATATCGTATGTATAGATGGATTAAACATAGATTAATTTTCATGCATTGTAGCTAAGACTCTATTGGATGGTTGTCCTGTTGGAATTTGATCCTCTCCGATCCTCCCAAACACTTCTTCATTTTCAAATGACAGACTGAAAGGAGCTCTGGGAGATGGTCAAAGCCTTAAAAGTGTTAAAGACTCTAACTCTGCTTTACACTTCCCCACAACTTCCTCCTTGCCCTTTATGTTGGGTTCCTTGATGCTATTTGTTCTCTGACGCTCACTAACAAACTTCTGAGGCCTTCAAAGAATGCCGGATGTTCATATGCTGAGAGGAAATCTCAGTTTACGAATAAATACTGGTTGATCAATTGGTTTTCAACCACCTGAGCATTTTACTCTACGGAAACTTTTTACAGTCTAACCAGATAAGGCAATATTTCATAATCAATGGAAATCTGAATTTCAACTTTTTGTTTGAATTCAGAATCTAAATGTAAACTGTTAGGAATAATCTTTATTTATCAAAATAAAATAAAAAAATAAAAAATATCAAGGTTGTTAAATATAATAGACATATTTTTGTCCATTAAATATGTTAATAATCTCCTACCCATCATATGCTGCCTATATAGATAGAATAGCCTGCAATAATAAATTAATGATGATAATAATGATAACCCACGGGGACTGTATTTAAGGGCTCATCACTTTTTCCATGGTGACATCAACATAAGTCATATACATGTATTTTTTCTTTACTAGACTTAGGTTGAATCCTAATAAAGTTGAAGTTGTTTAAGAGTTTTTCACTATATGAGCTTTTTAAAGTGTTTTTTTAAATATAATCGTAGAGACTTAAGCAGCTAAAGAGGGCATTAGTCTACATTGCAAATAGATGAAATGATGAAACACTGTTTTACATACAACAGTTAAAGATATTTTACATACAAAGTGTCCAAAAACATATCATCTTAAAACAAATTTCGTCTTAATTAAAGAAAAACTACTCGCCCCACATAAATAATACAGTGAGAAATAACCTCTAATCATTGTTTTTAGGAGTTTTACTTTCTTCTCACGGTGTTCCTGTAGGACTATATGGGAAGTATACAAAAATAAAGTCATCTATAAGTATATTTATAGGTGAAAACATAGTTACAGGAATATAAATATCTCGGTTTTCACCTGGACAACAGACAGTGACATTATCTCAAAGAAGGAAAGCAGGAATGTGTAAATGGTGTTGGACATAGTAACTAAATAAAAACTCAACTAGTAGAGAAGGAAGGCTGATACTCTTCTGAAAACTTCTCTGAAACATTTAGGAGATGGTCTTTTCAAGAACAAAGTTTGAGAAGTGAGAAGATGAAACACTATAATGGCAACATTGAGCATCTTCTTCACCACATGGACATAGAGCATAGAGTTGTCTCTAGGGTGTCAAAAATCAAAGTCACTGTTGGACAAAGTGAACCGAGTTTAATCCAACTCAAAGTCTACCACAGGAAAGATCTAAACCTGTGATAACAAATACTGATCCTGAATGATATAAGGATGAAGAAATGATAAATAAATCTTCAAAATCATCAATTTTCTGCCGAGTTGGTTCGTTAGGGAGATTCCTCACCTTTTCTAACAGAGCAACACCACAGTAGTTTAGGTAGAATATATGATTAATAAAACATAAAAAATACATAAAAGGAACATGATAAAGATAATACCACAGAAAAGATTGAAACAGATGATAGGAAAGAGGATCCCAAGCTGGAAAACCTTGAGCAGGATGTATTTGTCTGGTGGTACTTACAGCTGAGTTTGTTCTTTCTTTCACAGCTTCAGATTCTGAATCTTTGCATGGCTTCAGATCTTCTCCTGTCAGTATAAAGTCTGCTGAGGGTTAAAGATATCTGTCTGGAGAACCTCCCTGAGCTTGGTTCTCTTTTTTTTCACAGTCAGGAAGCCTCACAGTTTCCTTAGTATTGCTTGAGAAAATATTTGGTGTTAATGGGGATGTTATGGTAACTATTTTTCAAACGGAAGAGCATATATTTTTTTGCTCTCTTATCGCTACGTGGTGTCTCACACAGCAAATGAGTCATCTTTGAGGTTTTTTGTTAGGTGAAAACTGACATACTGAAACTTTAAGATGTAGTTGATCTATCCTGTGTAGCTCTAGAGAGGCTTAACTCCTTTCTGTCAAACAGACAATTCAGAGGGTTTTGTCAATCCGTTTTGTAGTGGGGGAAAAACTATCACCTATTAATTACCTTTTACATATATGTATATATATATATATATATATATATATATATATATATATATATATATATATATATATATATATATATATATATATATATATATATATATATATATATATCTTTGAGATCTTTTCATGGTTTCAGGTCTGCCTCTGCTGGTATTTTTAAATGAGCTTTGTGAGAAAAGCTTCACTAGAGTAGGTGTCTCTTTGCAACACCTCATAGATATTTTTAGCATGTGAAGCCACAAAGCAACCAGCAAATAAAAATCAGCAACAGTCTCAGAAGGGACCGCGGACTGCGGCTCTGGAACAGGCTCAGAGGGGACCGCGGACTGCGGCTCTAGAACAGGCTCAGAGGAGGCCGCGGACTGCGGCTCTGGAACAGGCTCAGAGGAGGCCGTGGACTGCGGCTCAGGAACTGGAGCAGGAGGGGCTGCCGACTGCAACTCAGGAACAGGCTCAGAGGGAGCCGCCAACTGCGGCTCAGGAACTGGAACAGGAGGGGCCGTCGACTGCGACTCAGGAACAGGCTCAGAGGAGGCCGCCGACTGCGGCTCAGGAACAGGCTCAGAGGTGACCGCCGACTGCGGCTCAGGAACAGGCTCAGAGGAGACCGCCGACTGCGGTTCCGGAACAGGCTCAGATGGGGCCGCCGACTGCGGCTCAGGAACAGATGGGACTGCCGACTGCGGCTCAGGAACAGGCTCTGAAGGGGCCGCCCACTGCGGCTCAGGAGCAGACTCAGAGGTAACCGCCGACTGCAGTTCAGGAACAGGTTCAGAAGGGGCCGCCGACTGCGGCTCAGGAACAGACTCAGAGGTAACCGCCAACTGCGGTTCAGGAACAGGTTCAAAAGGGGCCGTCGACTGCGGCTCAGGAACAGGAACAGAGGAGGCCACCAACTGCGGCTCCGGAACCAACATGGAAGGAGCCGCCCACAGCGGCACAGGTGCAGCCTCCGAGGGGGCTTGGAGTGCCTGCAGAGGGCTCTTGGATGCTTGGAACTCCCGCTTGGGTACTCTTGGAGGCGTACTTCCAGATCCCCCGGACTCAGAAGCCTCTTTTGAAACCGGCTCAGGGGTCTCTGGAAGAACAGAGCAAGCTCAGGGGTCTCTAGATGGCACAGAGCAGGCTCAGGGGTCTCTAGATTGCACAGAACAGGCTCAGGGGTCTCTAGACGGCTCAGAGCAGGCTCAGGGGTCTCTGGGCAGCAAAGAGCGGGAGGAGGCCCACAACGGCGCTGTCTCTTACGACGGGGGGTCCTAGGAGCTGAACTTACTTGCTCGTTAACAGGGTCAGGGGCTAGGCTACCTGGTTCGCTAATGGGTTCAGACGCTAGGCTAGTTGGTTCGATTACGGGTTCTGAGGCAAGAAAAACAGACGTGGTAACTAGCTCTTAAGCTAAAGAAACAGGAATGTTAATGGGTGCTGAAGCTAGATCTGGCTGGCGGGGAGCCGAATAGGTGGAATGAAGGGGAAGGGATCCTCCCTATCCCCATAAAAAAAGCTCTAGAGGTCTGACTCATGGATATGGGGGGCTCTGACTGTTTGGGGTGAAACTAGTGGGCCTAATTTAAGTTTCTTAATGGATGGTGCTAATTGTTGATCATGACGATGTTTGCAAAGACTGACCTGGTGCAGATGGGAACTGGAGTCCTGAACAGGAAGCTGAACGGCTTTGGATCTGGCTCGCAGCCTATTATCTATACGGATTGTGAACTTTATAAGTTCCTCTAAAGTTGTAGGCTCATCGAGAGTGGCCAGTTCGTCCTTAATAGAATCATCTAGGGCATGAAAATAAGCGCTTTTGAGCGCAGATTCGTTCCAACCGGATGCAGCTGCTTTCACCCGGAAGTCGATAGAGAATTCAGCAACAGTTCTCTTTCCCTGTTTTAATTCCAATAGTCCGCGAGATTCAGTGGACCTACACTATATTGCCAAAAGTATTTGCTCACCTGCCTTGACTCACATATGAGCTTAAGTGACATCCCGTTCCTAATCCATAGGGTTCAATATGACGTCGGTCCACCCTTTGCAGCTAGAACAGCTTCAACTCTTCTGGGAAGGCTGTCCACAAGGTTTAGGAGTGTGTTTATGGGAATTTTTGACCATTCTTCCAGAAGCGCATTTGTGAGGTCGCACACTGATGTTGGACGAGAAGGCCTGGCTCTCAGTCTCCGCTCTAATTCATCCCAAAGGTGTTCTATCGGGTTGAGGTCAGGACTCTGTGCAGGCCAGTCAAGTTCATCCACACCAGACTCTGTCATCCATGTCTTTATGGACCTTGCTTTGTGCACTGGTGCACAGTCATGTTGGAAGAGGAAGGGGCCAGCTCCAAACTGTTCCCACAAAGTTGGGAGCATGGAATTGTCCAAAATGTCTTGGTATGCTGAAGCATTCAGAGTTCCTTTCACTGGAACTAAGGGGCCAAGCCCAGCTCCTGAAAAACAACCTCACACCATAATCCCCCCTCCACCAAACTTTACACTTGGCACAATGCAGTCAGACAAGTACCGTTCTCCTGGCAACCGCCAAACCCAGACCCGTCCATCAGATTGCCAGATGGAGAAGCGCGATTCGTCACTCCAGAGAACGCGTCTCCACTGCTCTAGAGTCCAGTGGCGGCGTGCTTTACACCACCGCATCCGACGCTTTGCATTGCACTTGGTGATGTATGGCTT